TAGATGTGTCCGTTTCAGGTATTAATAATGTTTCGGATACTTTTTTATTTTTAAGTGGCTAATATGCACTCAATATGACATTTAATTGTGAGTTTAATAGATACATTGTTGAGAAAAATTATGCTGCTGCGGGTTTCGAATCTGCGTTTTCTGGGGAAAGTGCAACTAGGCTAAGGGCTGTCTTGCCTTCACAGCGTGAAAATTTCTTAGAAATAACTGTGACATACATAAAAAAAAATCTTTCAGTTTTACCTCACTTACCTATTTCTTAATGATTTATAAATCTATTTTTTTCACATTTCCTTTATTTGTTACTTAAAAGACTTGTTCCCTTGACTTTGTGGCAACCCTACACATTCCATAATATGATTTGTACGCCATAACAAGTTAGTGCGTATTATAAAATTCTTATATGATATTATATATTAATTGATAACCATTATTATAATTGTGAAGAATCTAAGTCCTACGTAAAATATTGTCGTTGCTGTTATTGGTGTGTTTTTGACTATGTGAAGTTTTTCAGACGTTGTACAAGTGTGCGATAGAGTCAACGCTTTACTTAGCTGAAATTAGCCGATTGTCTCTTTCCAGAAGTCGATGTTCAATATTTAACACCGAGTAGTAACAAGAATTTCGTTTAACTTTCATTTGAATTGTTTGTATGATAGTTGTGTGATGAACATAGTTCTAGTGTCTGGGTGTTTAAATATCTGTAATACGTATTAATTTACAAAATGAAAGTGCAAGCTAAGTTTGGGAGTAGATAACGTTGTATAAAATTACGTCCCAAATTATTTATTATTTCTTATTCTATAATGATTTTGGCATCATGTCACCGTTATACTTGCCGAGAATCACATAAACGATATAAATGCAACATAGATAGAATGATCATGAAACAATGACTTAGCAAGGACTCTACGGAATCCGTAGAGCTTTGTGTGGAACAATATTCAATGGCAATGTTGTCGTAGCGACCTTGCACTACGAGAATGCACAAGGCTAGCGTGCAGCGGTGCATTTTACTTCATCTGGGTTCAATGTATGCTGCTGCCGATCCTACATAATTGCGACGTCGCAGGATGAGGTAACTCGCTCAAGGTAATATCGCAAAGGGCAGAAAACCGATTTTCGAGTCCTGGGTTTGAAGATGAATGTTTTTTTTTTCTTATTCAAAACCAATTCCACGTTGGGAAATTAACCTTGGAGCGGGAGGTTTCAACACATAGAAGGACATGAATACCCTGGAGTATATTTTTTTATAATATTTATGGAAGACAAAAATATTTATCGCATATTGGAACGAAAGCAGTCAGATGGTACCAGCCTATTTTCCTGAAAAAAGTGCAAATCTTTGATGAAAAATGCTCAATAGCGCAGATGTTAAGCTATTTATTGGCTTCGGTGCCGTTCGATTCCCGCACCGGTAGAGTATTTGTGTGACCCACAGATAATCGTTCCAGATCTGGGTTTTCAAAAGGGGTTAGAGCCGCTGGCGGCCGGTCGTAAGATATCTACAAAAGCATGTTGTGCCGATTCCACATGTAGGTGGGATAAAGGCAGGAGGATGCTGAATTGCGTATAATAATATTTCTCAATTTAAACTTTTTGAAATTTTGAGGGCAATCTCTATCACTGCTCAATTGCTATTTTTCCGAATATAATATTAATTTTCTTATTACCAAGGCGAAATGTCATCATACTCTACTTCTGTAAGGGTCACTCGTTTTTTTTTATTATTATATAATTTATGCTAGCGATCTTCGCACGGGTGCAATGTGCATACAAACCTCCTCTTGAATCGCTCTACTTGCTCTCTCTATTGCTGAAAACTGCATTAAAATGCGTTACGACGTTTAAAATATTTAAGCGTACAAATATTGGGAGCGAGTTTATACGATGTAAAGATGAATCATTGAGTTTTAACAATGAAGCCCTTTATTACCAATCGGGTTGAGAGAGATTAAATATTAAATAATCATCTCTCTATATTTCAACCTAAGTCATCTTTTTCATCTATTCATTGAGGTATTCACCTACTGTACTCATACGTTTAAGATTCGTGGCTCAGAATCATGAAGGACGACCTAAGGATAATATTTCTTAATTTTCCGCCCTCCATGTAAAAGAAACTACATTTTTTTTATGTGAAACGTTGACAAGCCAGCAGGCGGTTCACCTGATGTTAAGTGAATACCGCCGCCCATGGACATCTGCTACACCCGAGGGTTACAGATACGTTGACAACCTTTTGAAAATTGGGGTCCGGCCACCTCACTCACCAGACGAAACGCGAAAGTATTATACTTCCACTTTACGCCGGTCTTCTGTGAGGTCGTGGTTCTACCCGGACGGGCCTGCCCATTCGTGCAACAGCCGAGGCTGCTGCGTGGCCCTATTACAGTCAAAACTACATTACCGTATTAGCCGCGTTCGACTTTATTTATTTATTTTATTTATGTGACAATGTGGCAAGCGAGCTCGTGGTTCACCCGATATTAAGTGATAACCGCCGCCCATTTGTAACACCCATAGGATTACAAATGCGTTGCTACCTTTTAATAAAGTAAGCCCTGGCAACCTCACTAGCCAGACGAAACGCAGAAGTATAACATTTTCACTTCATGCCGGTCATGGTACTTACCCGGACGGACCTGCCCATTGGGCTTCCCCCAAAAGGGAAGACTGTTGCGTGGACGTACAGGTAATTATTCAATAAAGAGCTGCCGTTGACACTTGTAAGGAACCGTATCGTTGGCCACTTGTATATAAAAACCGATACAGGGACTTCTCCCGCTTTTAAAATCCAACCAGAACGACAGAAACGCAGAGCGCGTCTATGGGAAAGTATCGTGTGACTCGTTCCGCCATTGTTTTGACATCTGATCTGATCGATCGACTTATCTGGACAACGGTCCACTATTGTTTCACGCCGTTGGACCAAAAACGCTCCTAATGCCCACGTCTCACGGTTTTAATTGCTCTACAGTCGGACTTACAGATGTCAAAGTAGAGGAATGAGCAAACATTGCGTCTGCTGCCTTGTTATCTGAAAACACGTGGTCTTGATCTAAATCTTTGTATTATTTGCTCTACCAAAAGGGCTACCTAATGAAATGCCACATTTTAATGCGTGCTTCAAACGGCGGTTACAAATAATGTAATGTTTGCCGAAGATCGGCTGTCCTTGTGTATTTGTATAATTACGGTTTACACGTCACCAAATGAAACTATTTTAACGGATTTATCCCATTTATTCCCGACGTTTCGAACCCTGTACAGCGCTAATGGTCACGGGACATGTCTGTACTATGTCAGTTTAATTTGGTTATTACAGTTTTTCATCTTTCACTCGTAGATAACCGACATTGTTAAACATAATATAAAAATTTTACATTCTAACCTCGACACAGAACAACATTCATCGAGACTACATTTTCGATGGGTCCTTGTTTTATTAAGGAAAAACAAAACCGATATCATTCAATCATCTCGCTCTGTATTCATTTTATAATTGATTTTCAAGAACTTCCTAAGTATCTCGGGAGCCCAAGAAACAATACTAATGAAATTAACATATGACCGCATGGGAAGGTTTCAAATAAAAAAGAACCACCGGTTCACTCAAACGAAAGTTCTGGAGTAACAAACATAAAAAAAATACTAATAGAATTGACAACATCCCCCTTTTTGAAGTTGGTTAAAAAGGGTTCCAATAACAACCTAAACAATATGTTACTTTAAATTTTGACAATTTCTGCAGTAGTCTTTCGCGCAAACTGTGGTACGATTTAGATCCGCAAAAGACAATTCTGAACGTGAAAGAATGAATTGAAATCTGTTAACGGTACGAAATATCAATGTTCAGTTTTCATAAACACCGGGACGGTCGTGATGGTTTCCTTTCTGGCAGGTCTTCGCGGGACATAAATTTATCGGCCGATCCATTCAGTTACTTCCCCTGTGACATCATTTTAATCTGGTAATGCGTCATTTCACCGCGTCGCTATTTTAAATGACGAAATCGTTGTGAATGTATTCGAAATTTTCAATGGATTACTAAATCTCTTGAAGTCAATTTCGTTCTTTATTTATGATAACACTCTGATATCATGAGTGGAACGTATTTTTAAGGGATATATTTTGAGTCATACGCGCTTAATTATTTCGACTAAATTAAGATGATTTGCCTTTGGACTCAAGAAAAATCAACGTTGAAACGGTACTTTATTGTCATTGTTTTTTCTTTTATTGTAACTCGCCCTGGCTTCGTACGGGTACAATGTAGATATGGAATTTAGGCTTTTCTTTACAATAATATGCATACATACTATAATATACTACATATAAACCTTCCGCTTGAATCGCTCTATCTATTGCTAAGAATCGCATTAAAATTCGTTGCGTAGTTTAAAAGATCTAAAAGTACAAACATTGAGAGCGACTTTGTTTTATACGATGTAAAAATTTACTGTATAAGATATATGTTTAAACTCTAAAAAAAAATAATTCAAACTCTACATATTACTTATAATATGTAGAGTTTGAATTATTTTTTTAATTGGTCATGTTTCTCTATTAAATTTAAGTGAATTTCGTATTGAGCGATTACTCGATAAAAAGATACGCTGTGTCTTGGTCATTCACTCATATGCACTTAATCTTTTATCGTTAAATGACTTCAGTAAAATGAATATTTTTTCAAGGGATAATTACTACCGTTTCAACGCAAAATCGACACGTTAATATCAATATTTAGTAACATAACTTTTTTCTTATAAATAAACATTTGACCGACAACACGCAGCGAGTCCCGCAAACTTAACAAACGTAATTAACGTTCAACATTATCTATTTACGGTTGCTTAACAAACGCAATGCCAGTTCGAACGTTACAAAGCTTCACGCTCCACCAAGACCATCAGCTCTCGGAGTTTTCGAGGGCCGCCGGTCATGTTATAAACACACCAACGTGGTAAAGACCCCGCCACACTGACCTGGACTCGAGCGGAGACGCTCCCCAGCACGGCGGCCAGGGCGAGCAAGCGCGCGCACAAATTCCACGCGCACATCTTGCGCGCCTGCCACGGACTGACCGACTGACAACCGAACGTCCAGACGCGCCGGCGACAAGAGATTACTGGCATTGGCATCACTGTCGGAGCCAGGCATCTTAAGAAACCCACAGCCTACACCCCCGCGTTTGGTCTACGAGGTTCTTTGATCGGATCGATTTGCATCGTAAAGGCTCCGTGGACGTATAAATAAAGTGCGGACTAAATAACCATTTTTTTTTTTACTAAAGAAAAACAAAACCGACTTCAAATATCTCGCTCTGTATTCATTTTATAATTGTTTTTGAGCAGCTCCCTACGTATCTCCGGAGCCCAAGATCCAATACCAATGAAAATATGGGACCACATGGGAAGCACCAGCTTTCAAATAAAAAAAGAATCATGAAAATCGGTTCACTCTGTCGAAAGTTCTGAGGTGACAAACATAAAAAAATACAGTCGAATTTAGAACCTCCTCCTTGAAGTCGATTGAAAAAATTAAATTAACAGCCTTTATATATCCAACCCCTCTGTACAGAGGCTGTTAGGGTACCACGCTTCCCCACTGTGTATTGGCAGACTTTACATATCTTCGAAATTATTTTTTTGTAATCATTCCGAAAATATGCAGGTTCCCTCGCGATGTTCACCTTCACCATTGAGAACGGGATAAGTTAAGATTTATAATTAACAATTTCATTGGTGCCAGCACCGGGGATTGAGCTCAGGTTGCTCGAGTCAAAAGCGAGCGGACAATGAGCTATCACGGGTTATGGCCCTTGAAAATATCGCTCCATCTGGCAGATTGTTTACGAAATATTTATATTTTGGAATGTAGCATATATTTTTTATAACTGTTAAAAGTCTCTTATCTAATGATTTCATATATGGTGAACATACATTAATAAATATCCTGGGAAGATATCAAAATCGGTTTACGGTTCGCTTCTAGCTCTGTTTGCAATTATAAGTGATTTTCGATATTTTCCAAAACTTATAACCCGATCAAATTAAAATTTCGGACAATATACTGTTTGCTGAATTACGAAATCGTTTGTATGTAGACGTTGCATCTTTGACATGTGATAACGTTTAACTTCAATACAACTCGACTGTTAGTTTAACGCAGTAATGCAATAACGCATAAAAGTAAAGGAGATTTACTAAAATGATGAGTTTTACGTAATTGTGAAAATAATTTATGTGTTCGGTTCAATATTGAACCAAACAGCTTTACCTAAAGTGCATCGATACGTTGTAAGCATTTTAAATATACCGCGACAATCAATCAGTTCACGTTTGGTAATCAAGCAAACCACGCGTTCTCAAAATATCATACCTAATTATCATATCATAAATATCATATTATCAGTATCATTTTAACTATACTATATATAAGTGTTCTAAGAAATTCTATTATCATTTATATCATCATAACGTTAGGAGTTAGCCCCAACAAATATTGCAAACTGTTGGTGGTTTCAATGTTTATCTATGAGTGGTGATTATTTATTGTTGTGATTTTATTACCTCAATGAGTAAGTCAAGTTCGCGGTCAATAACGTAATTGCATACATTGTTTTCATATGTCATAATGCACGTGTCTGTTTTAAGAACGCCGCCATTGATTATTTCCTAATCATACAGCATTATTTAATCAGAAATATGGTGGAAAAACGTGAGAGGTATCGGGAATTACCTATAGACTTATTTATATTATAGTATATAGGCTGGCTTTTGTCGATTACGTAATGAATTATTATACGCATAAATATGGCGCCAATGGCTTTTGTATGGTCACAAATAGAACCTTCTTTTTTGTGAATGTAATAAGAGCGAAAAGTTTAAGTATGACCTAAATTACGTCTGAATTTTCCGAACTGTACATTTTTACTTTATAGGATATACTTTGATTTGAAATCTTCGTCTAGACAGTGGTCCAATGTTTTTCTAACATAACGTATCTAAAGCTTTGATGGCTCAGTGGCGCAGTTGCCAACGTATTTGGCGTCGGAGGTCGTGGGTTCGATTCCCACAAGGGACAACTATTTGTGTGACCCACAGACATTTGTTTCGCATCTGGGTGTTTGTCCAGGTGAAATTTATGTTTGCAAAATGTCCTTACAAATAAGGATAATTTTATCCTTAAATACACATAATACATAATCTTTGTTAACCAACGTCTCAGACTGGGGTCAACCAAACTTAGTCTAATTCAACCCCAAAAAGACACAAGTGGCGTACTTGGTGGAGACATTTCAATCAACGTCTTGTTTCGTGGTCAATTGGAAGGTTAGGCAAAATTGGCCTCAAAGTAGCTTGGCTCAGCAATGCGAGACAGTGCTTCACGTCCGCTCAACGCTTAGATCTCTATAAGGCGCAAATTCGAACCAACATGGAGTCTTAGCAATAGGGTCCCGTTTTACCCTTTGGGTACGGAACCCAAAAAATACGAAACTACAAAGGAACGTTAAATATGTTTTCGAATCGACAGATAACATATTCGTAATACTTTTGACAAGTGCGTGATTCGTTAATTCGTGCGCCAACACTTATATTGGCAGCTAGCATCATTGTGCATAATTGCAACGGCATGCTTTGCCGACCACAAGCCTTTAATCCTTTCAAGTTCCCGTTCCGTTTTAGTTAAACACGGAAGATTATTGCTTCACTGGATAATTGCAGATTTTTGTTGTTGTCATGTTTGCTGTTAGCCCGATGACTAACAGCTTAGTCTGAAGAGTTCCGCTGGCAGCGGACCCTGGATACGGAACACTTGTGCTGTTTTACGTTAATTCCGAGTTTGAAATGATATAATTTTACTTTTCTTCGCCCAGTGGTTGAAATGCGACCATAATTAACTATACATATCTACTACCATATAGTGTGTGTAATGTTTTTTGTTATTCATTTAATTTGTTTTACGCATAATTTTACAAAATATTAGCATTCTGCACTACTTCTCTATATAAACTATAAGTGAGGGACATTTTATGCTCCTGCGTCTTTGCAATTTTCGTAAGAAGGGGTACAAAGTTTTTCTTCATGTATTAATATGTTGATTAAATAAACGAAAATAAATAGGAGTTTCGCAATGGCACTTCGCCCACAATGGACCTTTATCGGGTATAGTTTGGAGGGTTGTTGCAGAAGTGATAGCTCATTAACCGACCTTTCTCTCAACCCGACTCAATCGTTCTCATTTCGACTGTATTTTTTTTACGTTTTTTACCTCAGAACTTTCGACTGAGTAAGCCGATTTTGATGATTCTTTTTTTATTTGAAAGCTGGTGCTTTGCATGTGGTATCATATTAATTTCATTGATATTGGATCTTGGGTTCCGGAGATACTTAGGGACCTCCTGAAAATCAATTTGATATTTGAAATCGGTTTTGTTTTTCGTTATATAAAACTAAATAATGACGAACAATGAACTAACCAGTTCATTTGATTCATCCTAGATGCGTTTCATTTGCGGAGCATCAACACGCTTTGATTGTAGATCATATCATGTAGTAAGTCAATGATAGTATTACTTTATACCTAGCCATCATGATTGCGGTGATAATATATCTATACGAGAGCACTCACGTGGAACCAGCAATGACGCAACTATTGCAAATGCATTTTAATAAATGCGAACACTTGAACTACGAAATATTTTAAAGGAATTAGAAATCTCACAGAAGACCGGCGTAAAGTGGAAGTATAATACTTTCGCGTTTCGGCTGGGGAGTGAGGTGGTCCCAATTTTCAAATGGTTGTCAACGTATCTGGAACCCTCGGGTGTAGCAGATGTCCATGGGCGGCGGTATTCATTTAACATCAGGTGAACCGTCTGGTCGCTTGGCAACTTTTCACATTAAAAAAAATCATTAGTAGTGTAAATGTTATTTCTTAACGTAATAATAAGACGGCTGAACTCACGTAAACCCGGTGTATGTCGACTAGTTTCAGACTCATCTGAGGTCCTTCATCAGGGTGAGTCTCGCACATTTCTTCCCCGTCCCTTTTTTGTTTTATAGGTACGATGGTGAATGACAAAACACCCGTAAGTAATCTTATGCGTAAGATACCTTAAATGTTATTTTGCTATATAAACCGCGTATACATCCATATGTATTTAGTAAAAAGCGGTTATTTTAATATTACAAACAGACACTTAAATTTTATTTATCTGTATAGATAATATAAAATTGTGAATTTTTCACAATGTCTTAAAAAATCTCAAATTATAGCTAAGAACCGCTTTAAAAAAAACCTTCGGTCCCTTCGTTCACACGTACAGAGTGTACAGAGTGTACAGAGTGTACAGTCGTGTACACATACAGAGACGCCTAACTTATAACACCCACCTTTTAACGTCGGGGGTTAAAAAGGAAATTGGTGACGTGTAATTTTGGTTGATTATTTTTGACAACTTCAAAAACGTTAGGAACTCGTAAGTACTTTTTAATTAATCAATTATTTAATAAAAACAGTTTATACGAAATTTATATAATTAATGTAATTAGGAAAAAACGTTATAAATTAATTGATTAATTGAAATAAGAAATCGGGTACAATAAAATTGATCAAGTCCGCAGTCATCGTAGTAGAGCCATTATATTAATATCAATGACGGCTAGATCGCTGGCTAACAACAGGAACTCTGGCGTTGTTACGTTTGTTTGTTATTTAGAGCGTGCTGGCATCTGCGCTTGACGCAGGTGCCTTTCGGAGGGGCGGAGGGGTTATAAACAACCACATCTCTTACTCATTGACCACTGGATGCCGCTAAATTCGTAGCGAATTTCACCCGAGTGTAAACACTGCGGCTACAAAGTCGCGACTGTTTCCAGTTTGAAGGCTGGGGGTTACTCATAACTGCGAATGAACAGTTCGAACCGTCCCAAGCCCTCTGAAAAGCTAACAATATATCACGAGCTTCCAAGACCTGTGAAAAGCTACCATTACCTATACCTATATCACAAGCTACTCACAGGGTCGGTCAAGGTCTAGATAAGAACGGCCCCGCAGACGTTGTTGCACCTTTCGCTAGATGGCGCTGTACCCTAGCAGTGTTACTATCGTCTCACAGGAACAAAAACTTGGAAATGTCCTCAAGCGGGCGCTGTACCCTAGCAGTGTTACTATCGTCTCACAGGAACAAAAACTTGGAAATGTCCTCAAGCGATAAAGTGATTCGTATGTAATCAGTTAAGTTAGGTTCCCAACACTATTGGCCAATTGTAAAGTTTTCTCCTGTGTTACGCGGAGACTATGAAATTTGCAATATAATTTTGTGTCAAATACAAAAAATGATTCATATTTGAGCAGTAAAAAGGCTAAAACACTAAGTTTTGAACTATACTTTTTTTAAGATAGCAAAAATATACTATATTTAGATATTTGACATAATTGATAGTTTGTTTCTCTCATTTTTTATTACGTATCGTTTTTCTTTCTGCCATCCCTTTGCGTTCAATTTAATTTTCAAATATACAATTAAAAATACATGTTTTTTTCTTCAGAGCCCAAAAAGTTACGTAAAATGTTACAATAATAGTGTGTAAACATACTAACTAACTTCTAGTGCTGCATGAATGGGCAGCTCCGTACGGGGTAGTACCACGACCTCACAGAAGACCGGCGTGAAGTAGAAGAGTTACACTTCTGCGTTTCGTCTGGTGAGTGAGGTAGCCGGTATTACTCGGTGGCGCCGTAGCTAAGCTAGGCTTCAGTATCACAGGACGTGGGTTTCATTCCCACACGGGATAAGTATTTGTATGACCCATAGATAGTTATTCCGCATTAAGTTTGCTGTTTGGGTTGACGTCAGCGAGTGTAAATAATATAGCCAAAACCCCTTACATTACGTAGCCCCCCGTATCATTACGTAGGTGTTATAAGGGCAGGAGGTTGATGAAGATGACATTTTATACTTTAAAAAATATTCTAATGAATGCCTTTCATTAAAACACATTGTAATAGGTTGATAGTTTGTTTTGTTTGTTGTGTGTGTTGTTGTTTTCCTGTTTTCTAGCGTGAAATAAATATTTTATTTCTTTACAAAAACCCACATTTCCATGAAATCTTATAATAAATATGGATTTAATGAACGTGACCTTAGACTACAAATATTGCCTTAACGACATGTTTCAAACTATGTCTCGCTTAGAAAATATCTACATTTGTTCAAACACTGAAAGCCAAGGCTTTTACAGAGTAAATGCACATAGAGAAATACGCTCTATCTCAACGTAACAAAGCTTATAATTGCGTCGGGCTTGAACTGTTTACTGTTTACCTTTGCGGTCTATTACAATGTCGAGATATTGATTCATAGTGGAATGTACGGAATGTCATTTCATCGTTGTATTTGTAGAGACTAAACGCGCATAGAAAATGTTATTGTATTATAAAATACAGTAAAATAATATACGGGGTAAGTCTCGAATGGATCAACAATTTTACCATGACATCATGAATCATGCAGTAGTTTCTATGTCTGATTTAGCTTCATGGTGCGAAGGATTGTTTCGTGAAGACATCATCAGCTCCTGCCTACTAACATTTGTGTTCCATACGGTGAGTGGGGAAACCAGAGATCCATCCCTTGATACTGGGTTCTGACTTGCAAACTTTTTGGAGTTGTGGATATTTTGGGACGGCATTAATCGCTGAAAAGTAGGTGAACGGAACTTGATAACGCCGATATCTCATAAAATAAGTCCATTTTTATAAACGAAAAACAAAACCGACTTCAGATGTCTCGCTCTGTATTAATTTTATAATTGATTTTCACGAGTTTCCTAAGTATCTCCGGAGCCCAAGATCCAATACCAATGATTTCAAATGAAAAAAAAAAAATCATCAAAATCGGTATACTCAATTGAAAGTTGTGACGCAACAAACATAAAAAAAATACGCAATAGATACTCCCAGTCCCAATAACTATAGTAATATTGTATAAAGTGGCCCCCGGTAGCGCTACGCAACAGCGTATGCTGTTGCACAAATGGGCAGCTCAGTCAAGGTGAGTAGCACGACCTTATAGAAGATCAGCGTGAAGTGGAATTATTAAGCTCGCGTTTCGTTCTGTGAGGTAGCCGGGGTCTACTTTATTAAAAGGTGGCAACGCATCTGCAACCCTACAAGTATTACAAATCTGAATGGGCGGCGGTTACCACTTAACGTCAGGTGAATCGCCAACTCATTTGCCATCTTCTGACATAAAAAAGAAGTCACAGTTCTATTAGGGTTTATATAATGATCTGTGAAATTAACTAATAGTTCTTGCAATATCGCTACAATTTAGAGTTCAGCTAGAAAAACAGGTTATTGGTGAAAAATGAAGCATTCTTTAAAGGCTATGCCGGCAATGAAGCCTAGCTAAAAGATTAGTTAAATAAAATAAGAGCCTCAAAAAAAGACAGCATATTTAATTCGATTTCAGTTTGTTTGGTAATAAGTTCCATCCATTCTTATCAAATTCATTCGTTGTATTGTTCTAATTTAAGAAAGCCATATTTGATTTTATAGTTAACTAGCTGCTGCTCGCGACTGCGTCTGCGAAGAATAGCCTGAAGGCGTAACATTCAAGCAGAAAGACCGATATACATAAAAATATGTATATAAATTATAGCCTATGTCTTATTCTGATGTATAAGTTATATTAATGTTAAGTTTCATTAAAATCCATTCAGTAGTATTTGCGTATTCAGTAGTATTATGATTTCAGGTTTTATATATTATATACTGTCATTATCTACTGCGCCATCTATGGAGGATATTAGAAAGAGCAATGTCCCACTTAACTTAATCGGCCACAGATGGCAGGGCATTTTGTTCCACGTGATTTTTTTCTGAATGTTTTAAATTTCATTTTAAGTGTCATACATAGAAGTAATAATGTGAAAAGTGTTAAGTAATAATGTCTACGCTTATTATATTTAGATATTTAACTGAATATTATTTTAATGAAATGATTCAGTTCTCTACGTTAACAGAAACAAGTCCGCACTTATACTTTCATTGTCTGGTTCATTATAATCTTCAGTTTATAAATAAAATAAAACTTCACTAACAATAATTTTATTAATTTGACGACCCAAACTAAAGGTGTTAAGTTAACAATTTCAAAAACTGAATTATGCCGTTACGGATGACTGATATATGGAAATGAAAAGAAAACCGATGGCATAAACAACCAAGATCACGTCTAAAACCGTGGTGAAAAATTCTTGAACCACTTGGTCGATAGTGAGTCGTTGAAACTGTCCGTGAATTCTGTTGCATATCCGACCAATTTCCGCGAATAGGGGCTCCAAAGCGGTCATCATGGCACTGAAAACAGAATTACCAGGTCTATGTAACAGCGCCATCTAGCAAAATGTATTTAGAACTATTCAGGAACTCGGTGCTATTAATAAGTTTTAATTAATATTATAAATGATGTTACAAAAATTAATATAAAATTATATTACGTTTTGCCACCACTACATTATAACCGATGATATTATAACATAATTATTTAAATTATTAACAAATTTGATAACAGTGACACCTATGAAAAATAATTTGAACTATTGATCAATAAGACAAGTTTCCTTAAGGGTTTTGAACAGAATAATTTTTTAACAGATGGCAGCATTTAATTCAATTTTTCGTTATTAATATATTTTTTCCTCAATCTCTTTCATTGTTCATAAATAATTTGATTCATATAAATCAAATCGTATAGTTTAAATTAAATGTTTGGCATATTTGAAATGAATGCGAGTATTATTATCATTAAGACGATGTTGTGGTAGCACATTTAAGGCGCGTTAAGCTTAACAGGACTTGATTGGAAATGCCATAGATACGCGGGTTTTAAATCTAATTCCAAGGTTCAATGGAATCAAGACGTATGCATGGTAGCCCTTCTAGGCTGAATACTCGATGAAGTATTGAAATGGTAAGGTTATTGTGTCTCTAAGGCTACGTACGTGCATATACGAGTACCTATTTATTTAAGTTACCTCGGCGAGCATCTCCAGAAGGCGCGTTGGCGTGTTCTAATTAGGGGGATGAGAATTGTCAGCGCGTAGTAAAACCTAGAGCCGTTGACGTTTTCGTTTGTATACGTCGACCGTTGAACTACCGTCAACCTAGATGGTAAGAGCAATGATACACTGTTATTCGTAACGGACAAAGGGCCACGTTACAGTTTGGGCCGTTGCACGAATGGGCAGGTCTGTCCGGGTAAGTGTCACGACTGCGAGGCTGTGGTGCCTCTCCAACCGAGCTGGTCCATTCAATCAACAGAAGTACCATCCGTAAGTAGACTACAAAAGATTTAAATAAGAATAAAGAAATATTAAAATGCTATCAAAGGCTACACAAACTGTGGTAGGGTAACGCCACAGTGTTCACTGTTGCACGAATGGGCAGGTCCGTCCCGGTAAGTACCACAACCTCACAAAGGACCGGCGTAAAGTAGTAGAAGTGTTACACTTGTACGTTTCGTGAGTCGAGTGAGGTAGCCGGGGGCCACTTTATTTAAAAGTGGCAACGTATCTGCAGACCTACGGGTGTTGCAAAGGTCCATAGGCGACGGTTATCACTTAACAGCAAGTGAACCGCCAGCTCGTTTGGAAATTAATCACATAAAAAATAATTTATACAAATAAGAATATTTAACGTATATTTATATCACGGCTGATTTTATTTCTCGACTCCGATACCTGCTCCTTTGGACTCCTGTGCTGACGGGAGAACTACTCCCCCAACCTTGGATCCAGCGGTCTACGTCCCTGCTCATCAGACTTCCATCATCAGGTAGAAATGATGAGGAGGTTTGCACCTAGAAGACAAAGCCTAGAGTTTAATACCTAAACCAGTTTGACATTCTAAGTCAAAATTATGAAACATGTTATTTTGTTCTCTCCTCGCACCCCAAGAGCTGTAGAAATTTGAATTAAATTTGATAGAGATACGGAGACATACAATAGGTACTTTCTGTAGCACATGTTTAACTATTGGCACGTCATACTTTTGGCTTTGGCCAAAATTCTCATATCACATTACATTTATTCTGCGAATAAATGTAATGTGATATAATGTAATATTTCTTTTTTTAAGTGGAAAGTTGGCAAGCGAGTAGGATACCCTAATTACCGCCTTCCATTGCCATTTACCACACGTGACGCGTTGCAGATTCTTTGCCAGCTATTAAAAAGGGGGCCCTGAATACCTCACTTACCATAAACGCGAAAGTTCATACTTCCATTTCATGCCGGCTTTCTATGAGGCCGTGTTGCTACACGGTCGAGCCTGCCCATTACTGCAACAGCAAAAGTGGCCCTGCCACAGTGTTCTGGTTTTCTTGCTGAGGGCACTTTTTGTTGAAAGGTGAGATTCTGACGTAGGAAATCTATCGTTTAACCCTCGCGCGTAACTCAGACGGTGTAGGCAGTGACGTGCCGGCATATTTAATCACGTGTGTGATTAAATATGCTTGCACGTCACTGCCTACACACTATTCGTAGTGCCAAAAGTGGCGTCCGGCTGTTCTGTCATGGTACACCAGATACAATTCTGCTGTTGTAAAACGCATGTGGTTATAGTATGAAAATATTACCATAGCTGTGCCCGCGACTCCGTCTGCGTGGAATTTAAAATGAATAAAATTTCTAGTCTTAGTTACTCCTTATTAAATCACCTATCTGCCAGTGAAAGTCCCGTTAAACTCGGTCCAGCCGTTACAGAGATTAGCCGGAACAAAGAGGCAGACAGATGTAAAAAAAATATTTTGTTATACGAGTATGTACCGTGTATACAGTAAAAAGGGGTTGCTTTAATTTTAATATTACGAAAACAGATACTGCAATTTTATTTATCTATGTATATAATAATAGATAAGCGGGCGCAAACCTGAGACTCTAGACTAGTCTCGTCTACTGTAGAGTTGTCTTCGAGAACTGGCTTCTTAAGCGACGGATCGACATCCGCTACCGCTTTGGACTTGTTTTTAGAATTACTCACTGCTTGAATTATACCCTTCGGCGAATGGTCCATTTTATAGATTTCGACAATCGCCTAAGCTAAATATGACAATACAAATTTTTGAAACTGTTTATTGTGGAGTTTTATTTAATCTTTGGCCAAGACTGTATTCAAAATCATTATGTGATTATAGTAAAATGTAAATGCTGCGTTTATACACTGGAAAAAATGTCGATTTGTTGTCGGGATACATGACATGACAATAAGTATATGGTATTGGAATTTCTACTGTTGCCTAACCCCGTAATGATTAAATGTGAACAGTATGTAAGCATCTAAAATTCAAATCAAATTCACACTACGAGCTCATCTGGCGCAATCCCACGGCCTTACAGAAGACTGGCGTAAAGTGGAAGCGTTGTAGTTTCACGTTTCGTCTGGTGAGTGAGGTAAGGTTCCTCTTGTTAAAGGCCGTAAATGCATCATCTGCCACCTCTTTGTTGATGTCCATAGGACGCGGTAGACTCTCACCATCAGATTAGCCGCCTGCCCGCTTTCGAGCCGGCGACTCACCTGATGTAAAGTGATAACCGCCACCCCGTTGTCACCTTTTAATAAAGTGGGCCCGGCTACCTCACTCGCCAGACAAAACGCTGAAGTCTAACACTTCTACTTGACGCCGATCTTCTGTGCGGTCGTGGTACTTACCCGAACGGACCTGGCCATTCTTGCAACAGTGAACTGTTTTTAGTTTACTGTTGCGCGGCCCTATCACAGTCAATTATGCATATAAAAAAAATCGATATGCAGAAATACTTTTGGTTTATACGTGGAAAGCTTTGGTGACTTTTTCACCAAATCTAGGAGGGACGTAAACGTATTGCGTTGGTCAATTGCATTCGAAATGAACACGCAAAACTTCCATATTATTATTTATGACATTACTTTTGCTTTGTTGTACTCACCGTTTTGATATTTTTAAACTATATTAAGATTCATTTATATTTAAGCTAAGAAAATATTTTGGGAAATCCTTTTTATTACTTATAACACTGCATTTTCAACTCTTACTTTTATTTTTGATTGTTTTATGTATCATTGTGATTGAAGATTGATTGTCAATGATTAGTTACAATTTCTTTGTCATTCAGAGAGATGACAGGACGATAATCTTGATACAGGCTTTTGCTTTTTTTTAAATATGTGCAAAGGTAGTTTAAACATTACATTCCACTTAATTCGACATCTAACGATTAAATTGTCTCCGAAGGCCCAAAGACGTAATCAATTCGATAATTCGGTAGCCCGTAACCATACTGAATAGAAAATAACTTTTTTTTTTTAATTTATTACATTTGCTCTCTATGTCATTCTTGGTATGTGGTCCGTGTAAAAAGGGCGCGAACCGTTGGGCGCCATTGTCTGAATTCGATTTGAATTTAGAATGTAGACGTCCCGCAGTTTTATTATCCGCGGTTGCCAGTGTTAAAAACGCTTATTGTCATTTGATTCGGTTAGTTTTTTTGTCATTGTGTTGTTGTTACCTGTCGCTGATGGTGTCGAGTTTTTGTATTTTAATTAATCGATACGTTTTTTTTGTAAAAATGAGTGCGATAATTATTTGTAAAAATTAATGATTTTCTTTCGAAATAATGTAAAAACGTTCATATTGTTTTGTTGCGTACTTTCCTTTAAATGAATTGTTTAATATTTCTTTGAATGTATGGTATTTAATTTTTTTTTTTAATTTTAATTTAATTTATAAACAGATATCATTCATGGCGTGATGCATATTAGGATAAAAATATAATTTCGACCTTTTACATTGACAATCGAATCAGAAAACCATACACTTATGCGACATATGCTCCTTTATAGGTATACTTTTCAAATATTGAATTAAAAAAGATATTTTTAATGACAAATACATATCTTAATAAATAAAAATCTAACCGAAACTATTACTTAGAGTTAAAATTTGAGCCCCTTAAAATATTACGTTTGTTCAAGAACTAAATTTGGCCGTATAGCTTTGTAGTTCGCCTTGTCAGCCCAGAAATGTGTACGTTGCATAAAATTGCAACACATTCGCAAGTGTGCAATTTCTTAACGAGCAATACAGCTAACGACCACCTCGGCGGGCCCAAAACCGTTGTAATGCGCTTCTAAATTACATACATTTCATTGTTGTCACAGCGAGATGTCTTAATCAGAACTAAGCTAATTAGGACGCCGACCTTAAGGTGGCACAGGCACTGTATACAAGTACCATAAGTACCAAATAAATTCTGTACCACTATAAATAACCAGTTTTATATTATTATTAAGGTAAGGTAATCTCAAATATTTATGAGAGACTAAGTACTAAGAGAGGCTGCACGCGACTAATTCTGCGTAGAATAGGCTGAACACGTAACATTCAGACAGAAAGACAGATATACATAAAAATATGACAGATATACATAAAAATATGTATATTAATTATAGACTATGTTTTATTCTGATGCATAAGCTATATTATTGTAAAGTTTCATTAAAATCCATTCATTAGTATTTGCGTGAAAGAGTAACAAACATCCATCCATACATACAAACTTTCGCCATTATAGTATTAGTAAGGATTACGTAACATTAATCACTTCAGTTTAGATGTATAATAACAGTTAAATGTAGGTACATTTAAAAGTATTGTAATTCATAAGTGAGAGATGAATTAAATTGTATAATATGCTGAATGAAAAAGATGCTCCAGTGTCCTAGCACCTTTATAGAGATCATAATTTAAATTGTGTCACCTTGTCTTTAAATGAAGTGGGATTGTTTTATTTTTAAGTCAAGTTGACTTCGATTGCGTTATTAAACATCTTTATTATGATTAACTACGTATTAATGCATAAATATGCATCTAAATAGAATAGAATATACTTTACACACAAGTCTATTCTACACTTGAACACAAGGAAATGCTCAGGATGTAAATACAGGAAATTTAGAGTACCTGCATGTAGGTGGCCTTATGAATAAGGTAGCAATTTCTTTCAGGCAATCTTAATACATACATACTTCCATTTAATAATATTTTTGCAGATTTCTAACGTCTTATTTCAAAGGAAAAGGCACTCCTTTTCTCCTCACGTCAGATCATGACACGTGGCATTATTTCTATAAAACAAAAAGGACACGTATTTGACTGTCGAGTTTCTTGCTGATTCCCTTTGGACGTTTTTGTGATCCGATGGTATATTTTGATGTTTACATATATTTGAGAAACTGCGAAACTGTTATGCAAGAAAGCAATAGTTACAAAACCTAAATAATCCTACTGCGGTAATATTCTGTTTAAAAAGTAATTTTAGTGCTAAAACTAACCACCAGAATTGTAAATTTTGCAGTTTCGGCGTACCAGGCGACACTCGCGCAATAAGGCGAATCTAATGAGAGGTATATTACATAGTGTATTCATCAATATCCGCTCCTCCGTTTTGTTGTTACGAGAACGTATGGACAGACATACACACAGGTCAAATAACCCATACCTTCGTCTCGTCGGTAAAAGATTCGATTTCGACACCGTCAGTGCTTTTTTTTTTAGTGGGCGTATAAAATTGTTACACATCGAAAGTATATCGAAGAATTGGCACTTTTTTTGTTACACAACGAATCGATCAACATTTTTTATGGCAACACCGCCGGTAGCCGCCCGCGGCCGCTCAGCGGGATCCGCTACCGGGATCGATGGGTTTGCTAATTCCCGAATTGCAACACCTCGATCTTGATTTGGGTCAGTGGGCCTCGTGTCAAGATTTGGGTCGACTCTCATTGCGTTTGTCGGTCGCTTTCGCTTTCAAAAGACAAAAGTTGGCAAATGCGGTCCGTTTGAAAGCGTTTTGCGTAGAAATATTTTTTTATGTTATAGATGCAACCGATTTTAGGTGATAACCGTCGCCGTTGGTCATTTGCAACACCCGGGTAGGGTTGCAGATGCGTTGCCACCTTTAAATAAAGTGGGCCTCGGCTATCTCACTCACCAAGAAGATAATGGAACAAGAGAATGGTCTTCTGTAGGGCTCTGGTACTTACCCGGACGGACCTACCCATTCGTGCGATAGCCGAAGCCTGTTGCGTGGCCCTAGTACAGAAAACTTTCAGCCAATAAGACCAAAATTGACAAACGCCGTCCGCTTGAAAGCGCATTTCGCACATCGTTAGATATAATTATCGTTAATATATAGTATATATATTTATATAATACAAGGAGACAGTTACCTCTCCTAATATTAGTACCTGGAGGACGGAGCCTTGCTCGGTTTTTTTTGGTAAGTCATGTATTTTAGAAATAAAAAAATAAAAAATAAAGAAAATGATCTGGTATTTATAGAAAAAAAAAGTAAAAAAATAAGTGTATAAATGATCGTGATACGAACCGCGGCCGGCGCGGCGAAATTTACCGTCATATTCGAATGAAATTTTTCATTCCCTGAAAACAGGGATAACAGGACATTTTCTAAAAATGAAACCTAGCTAGATCGATTTTTCGCCCCCGAATCTACGCAAATACTAAATTTCATGAAAATTGCTGGAGCCGTTTCCGAGATTCCGATTATACAGCGTGTCGTTACCATCGCAACAATAAATGAACACACGACTAACACTACTTGCCAATAATCATAAAAAAATATTAACGTTAAACAAAATCCATAATTAAAAAAAAATATTTTTCAAACAAACTAATTAAGTAAAAAAGAAACAAAATTTGTAACATCCTATACAACTCGCGCCACAGCGTCGCATTACAAGCCTCTCCTTCTAACAGTATGTTTTGTCTCTTTTAAATTCATTCAACCCATTCATATGCTTTGTGAACTTTACAACTGAACTTTACGTTAGAGTTTTATACGTAAGGGTGTTCTAAAATTGTTTCTTTTGGAAAAATTAATAACTCTGCTAATAAAGATTTGCTCATTTAAAGGTTAAGATTCAATAGAGGTCCCCGCCTGATTGTATGCAAACTTCTGCTATCCTTACTAATATTATAAAGGCGAAAGTTTGTATGTATGGATGGATGTTTGTTA